TGAATGTGTTGAAGGGCCGTGACGGTGAAGCTTGTTAAGACAAAGAAGAATCTCTCAGGCCAATTTGGTAGACAAGAGACCAAGAGTGGGAACCACGTCCAAAACACCAAGATTCCAGCTAAGTTGAGCGCACGGTCGGGAACCTCACGCTTCGAGAAGAGCAAGAGGAACGTTTGGATAAAGAGATTGATCCTCCCGAAGCACATGACCGGGTAGTAAGTAAAGTGTTGGTAGCTGACAAGAAACCTCGCGAGTGGGTCAAACGTGAGCTTCCGATCATAGAAACGTGACGTCATGGAGTTGAAGAACTTGGAGGAGACAGCGAAGACAGGGATGTGCTGTACATCCGGATCGTAATCAAGGCTGTTGCAAGAGAGGTGATGAGCGTTGTGAGTCCATTTCCACCACGCGATAGAGATTCCAGTGAGGCAGTTACCGGAGAGAAGCTGAGCGAACTTGTTGTACGATTTGTTCTTCATGATGACGTAATGTCCCGAGTCATGACCTATGTAAGCGCTCTGCATCCAGAGGAGTCCGAGTATCACGGCGGCGACTTGGTGAGCGAAGACGGAGGTACAAGCCAGAACACCGTAGAGAACGGCGGCGAACAAGACGGCGACGAAGGTTAACGTGTAGAGCGTGACGTGTTCTTTTTTCTCGAAGAGACCGAGTTTACGAAACTCGGCGGCTAAGCGGCGGTAATCACGTGAGATCTCGGAGACTTCAGAGTCTCCGATGTGGTAACCGGTGAAGAGGTTGTTGAGGTGGTGCCACGCGGTTCCGGGATGGAATGCGATGAAGGCATCGGTGACGTCTTGACCGGCGAGATTTACAATCAATGCTTCGCCGCCGGGATGAGATTTGATCCAATCGGAGACGTCGTAGACTTTGCCTTGAATCGCGATCCATAGATCTCCGGGTTTGTTGTGTTTGCTTAGATCTTCTTTGGTAATGTACTTCTTCTCCGCTTGTTCCGCCATTGATGAGATCGGAGATCAGAACAGAGAGATGGGAGAAAGAGGAGACGGATCTCTCTGGGTGATCTCCGGTGAATCTGAATTTGAATCGAATCCTTTCTCTCTGCGCTGCTTTTATCTTTTATCGTGCTTTTATATTTATGGTATTGTCTCTAAAATTATTGATATTGTGAGGACGAATATCTCGGGACCGAAAGTACGTGGCTAAGCGTGGAAGACAGAACACGTGTTTTAGATCTTTTGTCTGAATGTCTTTGTCTGTTATTACCATCGGTTGCTGTCCGTTAATTTTTTTCTTTTTCTTATTTCTCTCTCTTTTTTTTTCTTTGTCTCCGTTATTCCCGTTAAAGATTGTCAACCTAAAAACAGTGTAGTATTATCACCAAAGGCCAAAATCGAAAACAAAATATACTGTTTCTATTTGTGTTGACATGAAAAACGATTCATTGCAAAAAAAGCTAAATTTCAAATTTCAGTATTTAATTTGGGTACAATATATTCGTGATTTTGACATATCTCTTCTTGTGTTGCATTATCATTGTCCTTGTTGTGACTGCTCTCCAAAACTTGGTCTGAAAAGACACACAGCTTTTGTTCTCTTCAAGAGTTTTTTTTTGGTTTATTGCTAAATCGTCAAGTTGTTTTTTTTCTTTGTTGAGATAATGAGATCTAAATATATTGTATTTTACGTCAAACATTTATTTATTTTGTATTCGAGTGTGATTCTCTACCTGGTGAAGGACCACAAAAGGTCAGATAAAATTGTAAAGTATGTTGTCAAAACTGTATTACAAATCAAACAGCAAATGAGAGGGGAATTAAAGGAAGATTTTGTGAAGAATATATATAGAAGACTAGGCAACCAGTGGGAAGATGATTATTCACTTGAGCATATAAAATGTTCTAATGTCACTTTTGTTTTTACTAAATTTCATAAGTAAATATTGTTGGGGGCTACTAACGTTGTATTGGTACAAACTTTAAATACATCATGCATTATATAGAAAATGGTATTTTAGATACAACCTTCTTTTAGAGGAGGACAACTTTTATTTTTAAGTCAGACTAGAGTTTCATGATTCATGTTATATATTGGTTTTTATCATTTTATAAATTTTATAAACTGATATTTGTTTTTGATGATTCATGTCATATATTTTATATGTGTCACCATGACTAATTTCATATTGGTTATTTGAATATTTTCAGGTTTTCATACATCATCACATAAGCTGAATCAAATCAGATAGCATGGTTACTTTTGGTTATTTGGTTATTTGAGATTATTTTTAGTTTGCATACAAAATATTTAAACCGAATTAGAGAATATAATTACTTTTGGTACACATACCTGAATTCGTTTCATATATATTGGTTATTTGAATATTTTTACATTTATATATACCATAACCAAATTTCTCTAGATCTGGGAAGAGCCGACTCAAAACAACTCAGAAATTTATAATACTCGAATGGTCATGTCTAATAGATTATGTAAATAAATACAAAATTATTAGTTAACTGTTTTGAGTTCTTTTCATAAATGAAGTAATTTTAATTCAAACATGTTAAATTATAATGGTTAATATATAAAAATATCAAATTATCAAGGTAAAGATAATTTATGATGAAGTAGTTAGAAAAAGTACAAAAATTATAAAATAATATAATTAAATAATTAAAATATATACATTATGCTTGTACCTTTTTTTAGAAATAATATCAAATTATTTGAAAAGGTAAAAAATGAAGTAATAATAGTTAAAAATAAAATCGGTAAAAATTATTTTAAGATAAATATTGTTTTGTAGTTCAGTTTTAGTATAATATATGAAATTTGACCTATGGATTCGTGATGGGCCAAAAGAGCCTAATCTAAACCCATTCAGAAAGTTGAATACCGTTAGATTTTGTTTAAATTTGGACTCATATCATTGGGGATGTTTAAAGAGAAAATTACTCCGTAAGACACATTATGAGTTCTTAATAACATAAAAGAACACTTCCTATTTATGACACACATTTATTGTATTCATTG